TAATTTCGTGTTTCAAACTTTATCATACCTGGGATGTCTACTGGACTCTTGTTTGGACAGATTTAGGTGAGTTATTCCTAGGATTTACTAAGAATTACAGGCCTACAATGTAAAACAACATATTTGCTTGAAAAACAATGTACCGCTTTTGGTACCTAAAATCCTGAATAATCATACCGCCGGGGAGGTTAAATAAGAATTCTGGGCAGTTAAACAATTAACCCTTGCAATAGGGTTACCCCAACACTGCACGGATTAAGTGCTTGTTATGGTCTAGGGCCTTGGTTCTCAACTGGTGGGTCGTGACCCAAAAATGGGTCGCGACTCCGTGTTCAGTGGGTCGCCGCATGCCTTCCACTTTTCTAGGCGAGAAGCTCCTCTGCCTTCCCCTAGCGCAGCACTGTCAGTTTGGACGCCAAGCAGCCATGCAAAATATGCTGCCCAGTGCCGAATGTCAGCTTGAGGTGGGATAAGATCGGGGTATGGCCGTTGAGGGAACTCCATCCATGCGTGCATCCCTCTCGTGTCCTGTAGAGGCGCCTGGACCGGAGTTGTACAAGCAATGCACGTATGGATAGAGCTCTGTCACAGCACAGCAGCCCACACTGGACCCCAGGCTGAGGATCTACTTCAGTTCTCATAAGGTAGGGAGACTGAGTAGACCTTAAAAAATAAAAAGAAGAAACATTTAAACATTTTTGGGTGTGTATGTGTGTGAGAATGCCTGAGTGTGTGAGATTGTGTCTATATGCCAGTGTTTTTAAGGGCCCGTTCACACTAGTACAGTGCGTTAATTGCATAGTCCTGTGCAATTAATACACTGTACGACACAATGGCTCCTACCGCGCGTTCTGCTGTGGGAGGTGTGTTCTATTGCCATTCCTTTGAATGGTACCCCAAACGCACCTCCCACCCACAGTTCGTACGCCCGCACCAAAATACATGATACTCTAATGTCGTGCATTCCATTGATGTGCGACTTAGGTCACGACTTAATGACCAAGGACAAATGTGGTTCCTGAGGTTACAGAGGTTGAGAACCACTGGTGTAGGGTCTAAGAAAAAAAAGATATACCTAACTGATCAGGGCTGAACTGGACATCGGGCAGACCGGGCACTTGCTCGGTGGGCCGGGCAGAACACAATCAGCCTGATTGTGTTCAGCCCGTCCTGGCCCCCCCTGCCATTGGTCCGCAGTGAGAGGGGTCACATCTGGTGAGTTTCTTGTAAGGTAGCACTTGTGGTGGTGACACAAGTGCCCCTGCTGCTATCCTCCACATCTGCCCCAGTTGCGATCCTCCACATCTGCCCCTGCTTAGACTCTCCGCCTGAAGCATCAGTCCGGCACCCCAGAGCAGAGCGGCAGCACAGAGTATGTAGCAATATCATATACTACTCTGCATTGCTGTATAATGTATTGCTGGGATTTGTAGTCTTCTAAAGTTAATGGCATTCTGCATTGCTGTATAATGTATTGCTGAGATTTGCTCTGCGGGGTGTACATGTCCCCAGGGCTTGTGCATGACATGGCAGAGGGTGATAGGAGGCCGGTGTGCTGCTCCTTGTAGGATTGATGATGAGTACAGCAGGGAGGCTGCCACCACTCACTCATTTTCACTACTACCCTTGGAAACCCATTGCCTTTCAATAGGTTTGCCAGGTTATACATCACCTGAACAGTCCACCTGTGGGATTTTGAGGAGAGTGCCCCTCAAGGACAACTAGCTAACTTTGCCAGCTCTGGAAGCAATGAATTATCAGATGTTATAATAATATGTTTTTTTTTCAAAGGTTCCTGCTTACTGAATACCCATTTGTATACCTTGGATCCATATTTATCCTATACCTGCCTGTCTCCTATAGAGCCTGTACTGTATGTGCCCCCCAAAGAGTCTATACTGTATATTGTCTCCTGTAATTAGGTAAATTAGGAGGCTGCGAGGCCTAAGATGGCTGCCTAATTTGCCTAATTAGAGAGCCGCCTGTGCTCCCGGCAGCCCCCATTTTATTACTTGTATGTCCACTCTACATTCTGCGAACATCCACCTGAGTGTCAGTATTCTCTGATACACATAAAGACCTGTGAAAAGCTGTCAGTGTGGTGTTGTTGTGGTTCGCCTGGGTACGGAATAGATGGTATCGTACTGGAGAACAATAAGCGCTATTTCGGGAGCATTGACCTGTACACCATGCTCGTGGTGCAAAGGGTGGCTGGGGAGATGAAGACCTGCTGAGGCTATCACAAGACTTCTCTGTAGCAAGCTTCCTATATTGTTGCAAGGTTTGCATAGTGTGGAAAAGTTTGTATGCTGGTTGTAGCAAAGCTTGTGTGGTGGCTGTAGCCCTCATGTACTTACCAGCGGCTGTCCCCACCCCTCGATTGCGCTTCAGTGTTTGTCCCCGCCCCCAAATTCTGACTGGGCGGAGCCTTGGGGGGTCACGTGATTGGGCTGCTCACTCTAAAATTCATGGGCCTATTTTTTGTCCCAGTCCAGCCATGCACCTGATCCTGGGTCCTGTGCTGGTGACTGTTCACCGCTCACCTATCTTCTACAGGAACCAGTCTAGCAGCCAGGCAGGACTGAGGATCGTGTGAGTATATCTTTTTTATTTTAGACCCTAGACCAAAACGAGCACTTAACCCTTGCAATGTGGGGGTAGTTAACTGCCTGGAGTTGCCTAAACATTTAATTACCCTATCTGCCCACTGCCAGTGGCTCCAGGCCCACAGTGCTTCCCTCAACTTTCTGGGTAGTGGAGTGCACTCTCTATGCCCTTCACTGGCACTGTACAGCAAGGAGACCGCAGGCTCCATCCACTGTCAATTAGCAGCTGGAAGGAGGAGCAGGGGAGTGGCTTGCATCCAGGGCCATGAGCTTCAGTGTACACAAAAAAACTTGTCCATGCATCCAGACAGGAGCATGCATGTATAGGTGGCTCCATGGGTCCCTGTAAGGGGATGGAGCCACCCGAAGACAGGATCCTGAGAGGCAACATTTTTCACAGCAGAACATGTGCTGTTCAACAGGCAAACAAAGTAATGGCAGAGGCCTATACCACTATGTTAAAGTGGGGAAATCCAAAATTTTAGAGTTGTCACCAGTGCAAAAGGTAAGTGAAAATTCTCCAATGGGAATGTCTGTTTCTCTAAAAATCTCTAAGATTGGAATTTCCTTTTGTATCCCCATGACAGGAAGTGAAGGGCGATCTCCCAAGTGGGACATGGGCATGACCAAAACAACCTGACAGGGATTTAAAAAAAAAAGAAAAACGTTTTGCCTTTACAAACATTTGAATTTACTTTGCACAGGCAACAGTCTCACTTATGCACATAAATTGCTCATTCAGAGGATCTTTTTAAATTAGACTGTTTTATTACATTGATTTTCTGCATACAGAATATTGGAATATATGAGTGCTAACATCGTGTATAAGACTACTGCCAATATGAACGTCATTAGAATACAGTAGTTGAGGACAACTTAGAAAGTGGCAACTGTTGAGCCAATGAACACTTTGGTCAGGAGTATAATGTACAATGCAACGCACAGAGTGTAGTGGTCAGGAGTATAATATACAGCCCAGGGCAACCAGAGTAAAAATATATGCAGTCCAGTGTACATGGTGCAGAGATCAGGAGTATGTAAAATACAACCCCCACCCTTTAGATTGTAAGCCCTCACGGGCAGGCCCTCCTTACCATCTTGTCTTGTATTGTGACTGTAATGTCTTCCTTATATTGGAAAGCGCTGCGCAAACTGTTGGCGCTATATAAATCCTGTATAATAATAATAATTAAAATATTACCGAGCGTACAAGGTGCAGTGGTCAGGAGCAGGGGCATAACTAGAAATCTCAGGGCCACATAGCAAAATTTTGTATGGGGCCCTGAGATTTCTAGTTACACCCACCAGATAACCCAAAAAGCCCACCTGAGAGTGACCCTGCAGAGCCTACCATAGACTGTCTATGGTGGGCTCTGCAGGGTCTCAGTTGGACTGGTCAAACCCTCTTACCTGTCAGCCCTGATCCACTGTCCGCCTCCTTCTCCTTCAGGGTCGCTGTGCCCCGCCTCCTCAATCGCTGTGCCCCGCCTCATCAATCGCTGGGCCCCACCTCCTCAATCGCCGGGCACCGCCTCCTCAATCATTGCCGACACTGGGTTCAGCCTCCTCCTCCGCAGCTATTGGCTGTCAGTGACTCAGGTTGTCAGTGATCTGAACAGCGGCGCGTTCCTCCTCACAGCCGCCAGTGACAAACAGCAGCCCGAGATGCCATAGCAACCAAGGTGGCCAGCACGGCATCAGGGGGATGTCCTGGCCGGGCCCCCCTGTCCCCCGGGCCCCATAGCGGCCGCCTGGGTTGCTATGACAATTGTTCCACCACTGGTCAGGAGAATAATATACAGTCCAGGGCAACTTGTGTAAAAATAACATATAGTCCAGTGTACAGGGTGCAGGGGTTAGGTGTATGTAACATACAACCCAGCGTACAAGGAGCAGAGGTTAGGAGTATGTAAAATACAGACAGAGAGCAATGATCAGGAGTAGATATACCACGGAGTCCACATAGCAACATGTTGGGCAGCCACAGTCAGCAGGGAAATTACTCTACGGCAGTGGTATTGTGACACCGGGCACCAGGCAAGAGATGTGTGGCATATACCCCGTGTGCTGGTGATAGCGATACCCTGCATGAGCACACATTCACTTTACCCTGTACTAAGCAAAACTGGTAAGCCGTTGCTGCTGATCTGGAAATGCAAGTTGACTGGCTCTCACGCTGTTTCAATAGCTTCTTGTTCAATAGCTTCTTGAAGTCTGCAGATCAGGAGCTCTGACTTTAAGTGACCCAAAAAGTTTCACCTACAAAGGAAGACAGAATTACTTACCTCTACCTCTATTTACCTCTACCACTGCCTGTGCTGCCAACCAATGCTCCATTGAGGAGAAATTGTCCCCTGAAGTATGTTTAGAAACTGACTCTTCTGGGAATTTTAATCTCCTTGTGCCCTGCAGCATTTGGCAGTCCCTCCCCTGACCTTCACATCAGGATACAGTAGTAACATTGAGGTCGGCTGAATAAACCACTGGGCACAGTGGAGGTTCAGGAGATTGATACTTCTGGAAGTGCTGGTTTCTGAACAGACTTCAGCACACAATTTGTGACCCCAATGTTCAATGGCAGTGGGAGAGGTGAGTGAGTTCATCAGTTTCATCAAGATACCCCACAATACTGCAGAGAGTAGAATTTGCTAGCTGTAAAGTACCTTAATGGAGAACATCAAAGGAAATGTAATTATATCAAGATGGTAGTGGTGAAGTAACCCTGAATATTATGGAAATCACTGTTTTATTTTGAATTAAATAGCTTATTGTATTTTTTTTTCTTCACAGGATTCCATCAGGTAGCAGAAAGAACATTTCAGACCTCTATTCACCACTCAGAACACATTTTGTTTATAATTTGCACGACCTGTAAGTTTCAGTTGCTCTCTTAAAAAAAATTATTATTATTAATGTTTTTATTTCCTTTGATATGAGACTATAAGTACAGGTACGTCCATGATAGGGCATGTTAAAGTTTCACATTAATGTAATTTTGTCATTCGGCCTGCTGTTTCCTACTAGTCTATTGGGATTGCAATGGACTCGATGCCCATTAGCATTAGGCATTTGAGGGGGATACATCTTTTAGGGGGACCCCTCTTAAAGAAGCACCTGAAAGGAATATGGACTCTTATTAATATCACCAGTAAATGTTACCCAGTTAAAGTGCCAAAAACATTTCACTAATGTACTTATTCCTTTATTAAGATTTTTTTTTATATCTTACATTTTTTTGGTTATGGGGCTCTGTTAAATATTTTGTATATGCCATTTTTTTTTTTTTTTTTTCAAACACAAGTCAGTGCAACATTTGGTGGGCAAGTTTTCTTTGTGCTGACTTTAAGTTTTATATGTGATTGCCCAAAACTGGAGATTCAAGGTGCCATAATATTGTAGAAAAAATATTATTCAGATATACTGTAGAACCTTTTCACCAATACAAGCTAATCACCCGAGAAATGTCAATGATTAGCTTTTGCCTTGACTTATTTTTTGCAGATATTCCATGACCTGGATAAATGAGAACCTTCACAGGCATATTGAGGAATGTTAATGTTTGTGAACTGTATTCCCTCAGATCATCCAATCACAAGAAAGGAAATTTAGATCCTTTAAATTTCTCTCTGCATGATTGGGTATTCAGAGTAAATCATAGGCTCACTTGGCTAAGTGAAAAGTGTTCTCCTTTATTAAATCACCCCAATATATTCTCCTTGTGTTTGCCTGAGTGTCCTTTCACAATCTAATGATATGACTTTTGGCAAGCTCACTACAAAGAATGGCCATCAGCATGTTCCATAATAAATCATGGGCATCTACCTATCACTTCCTAATAAAGAAATAAACACATATAACTAAAATATATATAAAAAAAGTATCACCTAAACTGTATGTTAAAGGAGAACTATGGGGCAACCTTTTTTGCCCAGAGTTCCCTTCAGGGTCAAGGGAGGACATATACTGTCTCCTCCGGTGACCCAAAACTCAGTATATAGCGGGCTATTGCCTGCTATATGCTGAGAGCGCAGGGCCGCTTCACAGCCGGGATGGATCCACCACACTGGCTGATTGACAGTTGGCTCTGCCTCTCTAAAGGCAGAGCCAGCTGTGCCCGCCCCCTGCACCCGTCCGTTTCTCTGGTCAGCGCTAATGAAACGTAGAAGGGAGGGGGTGGCTGACAGAGCCGACCTGTGACAGCTAAGTACTAAAGTTGTATAAATTGCTCCCTTTTTGTTTAGTTGATGTAGATGTGCAAGGTTTTTTATATTGCTGTGAGCTTGTTTTAAAAATAGCTGTTGATCCAGCCAATTCATTCCTGTGAGACCTTTTTTAATAGTATGACTATCAGCTACAAGTTCTGCAGGATGGTAGTCACCCTGTACTTAATTGATCTAATATATAACTGACAACCGAGCTACATGTCCTGCACAAAGAAAACAGTGAAAGCATTATTCACAGCCTACTACCAAAGTTTATACCCTGAAGGCATTGTTAAAGTATATCTATCCCAAATATATATTTTGCAGTTTATCCGTCCTTAGGTGTGGTGGCTGCATTTGTTTGTTTGTTTTTTTCAGGCTTTTTTTCACTTAGTTTCCAACTACAGTAGAAAACCTGGCAGCAATGCACTTTCTTTCATTGGGTGACAATGCTCATTCACTGTGCTATATCTGTGGCGGAGTAGCATTCCAACACAGGCTGCTTGTTCCTGATTTGGACTGCAGAACACTCCCCATCTCCTTGCTTCCATAACATAGGGAGTAATGTTCTGTTGTCCACACAAGTGAACTGGGCAGTGCTGATAACAATGCCTGAGATTTCAGTGCAGCACAGGCAGAGTGTAAAGGAACCTAGGAAATCATTGGATTTCCTCGAGGATGAACAGACATTTTTCTACACTTTCACAGCATTTCTAAATAGACAAAATGTGGAAAATGTACCTTGTCCTGACAGAAAAGGAACATGTTACTTTCTATGCCAGGAACAAAAATAAATTGCTGTGATCACAAAGATTAAAAACGTAGAAAAACAATAAAATAAAGGTGTGGTAGGTCAGGTGAGCCTTTGAATACAGATATCTTCATGGTGAGTTTACACTAAACTCCACTAGTACACAGGCCCAACAAGGAAAGCCTTGTACATGCAACCGAACAATCATACAATATAAGACACTCAAAACGTTTTCTCTTATGGAGTGTACTGACACCTCTGGGCAAGATTTTTCTCTTGCTCTTTTACTGTTTGATTGAGAAAATAACAGCTACACTTTAAGAATGGCATTTTTACAGTATGTGTGTGTGTGTGTGTGTGTGTGTGTGTATATATATATATATATACATATATATATATACATATATACATACATACATATATGGTACCTAAAGATGTAGTTTATAACAGGAGATGCTGATTGGACAATAAAGCGATCCTATGATCACAGACAGGAACCCATTTCATAGGGATTGCTAGGCCTCACTCCTCAGCTGGGTGTGGGTTGGTGCACTGGGAACTCCATGAGTTGAGGTGCTGGATCCCTCATGTAAAGATGAGTCTACTACTGCTCACCAGAAGAGCTGTCCAGTTATTAGTGGGGTTACTGCTGCGAAGAGAACCAGTCTTTCACAAGCGTAAGGAGACATGCTTTGCATAATCTCCTGTCTGTAAGAACTGAATTCCTGTTCTGCATTTGTGTTTACTGTTAAACGTACCTTACTCTTCAGAACCCCTGAGCAACCACCAGCTACAAACAACCATACATTTTTTAAAAACCATTAGTTTTCTCTGCTTCCCACAGCTCACATATATGTTCAATTGTAACAAATGACTATGCTTTTGTTTTAGGTGCCAAAAATGTGATCCTTTACCTCTTGAACTTAACGGACAACCGGTTCTAGTGTCTCAGGCTAGTTGTAGTAAATCGGATGACGAGTGCTACACCTATGATCGCAACAAGTGCTACACTACTGACGTCAACTTCAGATACAAAGATCAGATCATAACGAAGAAAGTACCATTGAATCCTGAATCATGTTATGAATAAAACATGAAACTACCAGGCATCTAAAGAATTTGGCAAAAAAGCTCATTGATTATTGGGTTTTCTTTAATGCATTCCCTTTGTTTCTGCTTTTCTTTCTTTTTTTTCACAACTACATTTTTTTTCTTGAGTTGATTTACAATATATTAGATTTTTGCAATAAAGCCATTTATATGTTATGCAAATAAACTCAAAATGTTCAACTATATATTTCATCAGATCATATGATTTCATAAATGTAAAGTACAAACATCTTCGGGGAAAAAAAGCTTTATAATATAAAGAAAGAAAAGGATTTCCTTTTTCATGTCTGCAATGAAGGATATGTGCACACATTTATTTTAATAACTTTAGGGAGTATGCATCAATTCAGCTATTTTATCATTCAGATAGTGTCATACCCCTCCTCTTATTTTGATAGTGTCATATGCCTCCTGTTGTTCTGGTAATGTCATATACCTCCTCTCATTCTGTCAGTGTCATACATTTAGTTTGTGGCTCCTGCTGCCACTGGCAATGTGTTGCATGCTGTTTCCTGTGATCTGAATTTTTCCACTCCTTCTCTGTGGCTCCTACTCCCTCCTGGCTCTTCACTGCAGGATGAGTGCAATAACCTGCACTGTGCTTTTGATCAATCTGCACTTCTTTATTGGGGCTCTTTCTCTCCCTGGCTCTGTACTGCAGGCTGGGAAATATTTTTGTTGTTTCACCCTCCAGTGCGGCTTCCTCTACCCTGTGCACTGCCATCTGCATTTTCTATCTCCTCCACTATGGATCATCCCCTAGCTCTGTGTTGCAGATCATGTGCTTTTATCTGTACTGTTCCTTCTCTCTTTTACTCTATGCTGCAAGTTATGTGTACTCTCTGTGCTCTTGATGATTCTGTTACATTACTCCAAATGGTGGCCACAGATGTGTCAATAAGTGATCAATATTTATATGATGGAAAAAAATACATATTGATTGTAAATAAGTTACCGGAGCGTAACTTTCGATCGACATCGGCACAAACGTAAAGGCGTGTTTCAATAAATTTGCGTAAGTGAGTTGATTGCATTATATAAACTACATATGAGATCTCCAAATAGACTGATAGGAAGCCTAAAAAGGGTTGAAAACCAATTGATCAATTGATTTTGAACTAATTTTTGATCCAGCTTCCCCATTTGACCCATATCAATTAAAAACTAGTACAATTGGTCAGCCATCAATTGCAAAGGCCATGTCCAGCAAACCATTATGTGCCCTTTCGATTGTTTCCATCAAGTTGCAAAATAATAATTCCCTTTTTTATTTTATCATTTCTTATTATCAACACATCTGTGGCTACCATTAGCCCTAAATTATTGGTCAATGACCATGTCTGTTGGGGGGGCCTGACCAGTTATTCTGCATATTAGCTCTGCAGATGGAGCCTCACTACGGTGCCACACTTAGGCATCAAGCAGCAAAACTCGCATGGAAGAATGCTATTTTGCATTGTGCAGGGGAAATGTCAAGGTGTTCAGCTTGTAGTCTAAGATTGTGTGCACTCATAACACAAACAGTGATGAGAGTCAGAGAAAGAGAGAAAATTGTCTTCATATATAAGTCCTGCATACACCCAACAGGTGTGCATGCAGGGCCGGATTTACTCTCTCTGCTGCCCCAATGCCAGGCTCCTCAATGCGCCCCCTGTATACAGGCTGCATAAAAGTGATCTCGGCTACATCCCCAAGATCACTTGTACAAAACAAGCGGCGGCTTCTCCGCTGTACATATAGTCCTGCTTGGCCAAAGCAGGGCTAAATGTAGAAAACAATTACCCGCCCGGTGCCCGGAACTGCATGTCCCGGGCATCGGGAGATAGGAATTCCACACCACTGTTGCCCCTCTACTCCCTGCTGCCCCACGGCCAGGCCTCGGTTGGCCTTGTGGGGAATCCGGCCCTGTGTACATGGATGCAGCCGGTTATGTCAGACAGCAGTTTCCACGCGGCCCCATTGATTTCAATGTGGTTACATCCGCTCGGCAATCGCTGAAAAAAGGTACATGTACAGGTACACACACTGTGCGGTTTATTAAACCGCAATCATGCATGATTGCACAGGCGGTATCACAGCGGGAAACAGCGCGACCTGCCTGGGGCGACTGATGTGCCATTAGAAAAATATTAGAAAAAGCAAAATATTTTATTGCCAGTAGCTGTATCTCATTGGCAAGCGCTTTCGGGGCCTCGCAGGGTCCCCTTCATCCCCTTCTCTAAGCCTGATGAAGGGGACCCTGCGAGGCCCCGAAAGCGCTTGCCAATGAGATACAGCTACTGGCAATAAAATATTTTGCTTTTTCAACTCATGGTGTGCTGGTGACATTTTTCTACTGTTCATGTGTGGCGGTGCCATCCGCAGTCATTTCGAGCACCCATCTTTATCAAGTGGGAATCCCGGTAAGGAGTGCGGTATGGTTCCTGTTTCTGTTTATTAGAAAAATATTGGCACCGGCAGCGCGTTCGGCGGTGGTGTGCGATTCTGTGATCTTGCGGCCAACCGCATGGCTTTGTGTGCGATTGCCGCGCGGTGACGGATTGTCCCAGGTGTGAACCTGGCGTTAGACTGGTCTTTCAAGCATCTCTCCCCCTCTGCTGCAGCAGTCTAAGGTCCCATTATGTAAACAGTGTATAGATGTTTTGTAAACAGTGTATAGAGGCGAGGACGCTGAGGAACATGCCAATGCTGCAGTATAGGAGTAGACAGGCTTCAGTGACAGGAGAAGCATGGAGTCGGCTTGGTTCAGGTAAGTATAACTTTTTTTTTAGCACCCTAACAAAAACAGGCAGTTAACCCCACTGCAAGGGTTGATAAAAGTTTTGCCTTGAGTTCTTCTTTCATTCAAAATCAAATCAAGGACTGAGTTTTAATCTCCATTTGAGTTTTTACTCCCTCTAGTGGGCATTCTGAAAATTGCTAAATATTTATGTATGCTTGATTCACTTGTATTACCTTTATTCTTTGTGAAATTTGTAGCATTTGTAGCCCTGAAAATGTTTAGTCCTGAAAATGCCTTATGCCTTGTTTGTCTTTATTCTGAGGAATTCATTAAATACTTTGGGACTCTAAGAACGTGATTGACAATGGATTTACATGTGGGACAGGTTTTTACTTTTTATTTTTTACTAAATACTTTATCATAGTGTGTGTGTGCTTAAGTTATTTCCATTCCAGTAATATATTGCCCAGCAACATTATATTATCCAACTAGTGGAGTCACCTTGGGAAGTCCTCCTGCCTGCGGAGGGATGCTGTGGATTGTCTGATCCTCCTAAGCCTTCTGCCTGGGTAGGGTGTCTATGTGCTTGTACTGAGGCCTGAGTTTGAGCCCTAGTGTTTCAAGAATGGGGAAGGAGATGCCATGGAGGAACTTCAGCCTGAATAAGGAGCTTAAGAAGCCAGGTAGAAGCTTGGTCCTTGACTTAAGTATAATGATTTCTCCCCAAGGAGTCGATAGCAGCAATAACCAGTACTTTACATCCATATGCTCCATTCACAGAATGCCATGTCGAATTAAAGGTTCTCTAACTGTTAAGGTTTGTCTCTCTTTCTGCAAGACCATGTGTATCCTGTGTCCTCTCTCTCTCTCTCTCTCTCTCTCTCTCTCTCCCAAAGCTATTACATAAGTTCCCTGCAAGCAAAAGAGCATCAGCATGGAATTCTGTTAAATGGTTGCCACTGGTGGGTTGTTGAGTGCTTTGGAGCAGCTATGGAACTGTGTATTCTAGACAGGCTAGGAGGGCCCAATTGATCCAGTGGCTCCTTAGGGGCTAAGCACTACACTAGAATGATGGTCACCTAACCATATGATATTGTGCTGAATCGACTTCATAAAGATGGAGGAGGTTTCCGCTTGCCCCAACAATAGGTTATTTATTTATTTTTTTAACATTCTTTATTTATAAGTCACAGAGCATATACAATGATCAACATTAAGACTTGTGGCAAGGCAATAACAAAATCCAAGCTAAAATTATATTACATAGGAATACACCACATGGTATAAAGCCAACCCAGTACAGATTGAAAGTGAAAGGTATTGTCAAAACATGAAATCAGAGCAAAGAAAACTACTGATATTAGGTCTAGGCAATGACCTTCCAGTTTTTAAAAATATCCTAAATCAAAGTAATGACAGTCTTACACAAAATGCAAAGCAGTTTCAACAATATTGGAAGACCCATTGTATAGCCCCATGTACCATTTTTATTGGTAGAAAAAGTATAGCGTGGGGATGGAAAAAAGAAAAGAATGCGGAAGGAGAATGTTCCACAGCCTAGGGAATAAGAAAGGGAAGGAAACAGTAAGAAAAGCCAAAGATGAGAATTGTGTCGCACTTCCCTGTGTGAGGATCCGGCGCCGGGTTTTACCTCCTGTCTGAGCTGCTTGGCTTCCTGCCAATCCACTCTGAACCTCTCCATTAAAAGTCCAGCTCACATGTTCCGTGCAGTTCGAGCAACGTGTCTTTTCACCCAGTCGGACTTCCTGTTCATTTCTTGCCTCTGTAATCCCTGCGGTTGCCCACCACCTACCTTGTCTCCTGTGAGTCTGGATTCCCTCTTCCTCACAGCGAGATCCTGTACGTCCTGCATTGGATTGATCATCAGCTTCTTCAAGTGAGTCCTTGCACCTGTGCCTACTTGTGTGGCTGTGTATATGCTTCAACCCTGTCTGCTGATGCATCCAGCACCTCGGTGCTGCAACTAATCTTTATGTCTGTGTGGGCATGCTAGAGGGCCGCAACCTGGAAGGTGTCCAGCAGCCAATCATCCTCACCATTAGAGGCTCTGTCGAACACCTGGCCCTTCTTAGAACCTGCGCCTCTAGTGCGTCCCTGTTACCGCACAGACACCATTTTTTGCACGCTACTTTTGGTCATTTTGTGTGCCCCGGTCGCAGACCGCGACAAATTGCAAAGAAAAAGAGAAGATGTTAATGAATCACACCGTCCCACCTCAGGAAGGGGACACCCAAAGGAACAGGGAATAAGCACAGTCATAGTCATGTGTGGAATTGAATCCAAAGACATCAAGGCCAA